AAAAAAAAAAAAAAAAAAAAGAAGATATAAGCTATGTGCAGAAGGGTGCATGTCTTAGTTAATTTTCTCACTGCTGAGACAAAATACCCAATACCCACAAGTTAAGAGAGGAAAGCTCGCAATTTATAGAGGTTTCAGTGCGTAGTCAGCTGTCCACAAGGCAGCATGGCATGACAGAGAGGCATGGCAGAGAAGAAATGGTTTATGGTGGGCAGAAGGCAGCAAAGCAGCAAATAGCAAGCAATGAAAGCACCAAGCAACAAGTGAGAACACTGTGCCTTTTTCTGCCCCTTATATATTTAATCCAGGCTACCTGCCCTTAGGGCAGGTTGTACTTACATCCAGGGTGGGGTACTCTTAATCCTACCCAGAACTATGTCAAACCAGTGGACTAATTTAGTAATCACACACTGTTGATCCCAGTGTAATACACTTAATCCCAGCATCACATACTCTAGATCCAGCCACCTCTGGAAAACCCCACCTATAACCACATGAGGCTTTGTAGTAACATCTAGACACAAGCCATAACAATATATCATCTCACAAGGTTACCTTTTAAATGTAGTTCAAAGACCAGCTTCATCAGAATGCTCTGGAGTGGTTCTTTCAAAAGTAGACTGACACCAGAGGTCAGACTTACTGAACCCAAATGTCTTGGGCCTGGAATTTTGCATTTCAAACAATCACTGCATTCATGTAAAAAATTGGAAACAAGTTATTTTTTATCCAAAACCTCAAGAAAAATACTAGAGAGTCACTAGGCCAAGAGATTGTCTCAAGAAGGGGTCTAATAACAAGGAAATGTACTTAATCTGAATTGTTATAATATTTGGGTAGCACAGTCTTAAGAAAATATAACCCAGCTGGGTGTAAGGCACATATCTGTTATCCCAGTACTCTGGTAGTCTGAAACAGGAGAATAGCAAGTTTGACACTGCTTGGGCAATTTAATGACTGATTGATACTCTGGATTAAATTTGTTTTAAAAAGGATAGGAATGCAGTTCTGCATAAACATCCTGGGTTCACTCCCCAGCACCACATCAGAAAAATAAAAAAAGAAAAAATAATATAGAACATAAATCAAACTTTTTATTGAAAATATTATTGGAAGGGTCAGATTTTAATGGTGCCTGATTTGAGCCAGTTTGGACACCTATGGCACACTGTGTGTGTGTAAGGGCAGCGTTTAGCTGGCCGTTTGGAAGAGTAAGACTATTTGAAAAATAGCTGGTAATTAAAAAGCTTATTAGACTGTGGATAGTCTACAGTTTCATCTTAATTTTATTTCATTTTGATCAGTACTTGTACTTGGGAATATTTTGTTCCCATTTCCATAATTCTTTTCTCTTATAGTCTCTATATTTCAATTTCAAAACTAGACACTGCATAGTCATTCCCTATTTCTACTTATGAAGCTGTACAAAAAAACAGAGCTATATGTGAGAAAAATCAAGTTGAAAATTGAGTTAGATTTTGGAATCTTTATAAATAATGAGACTAACATTAAACTTGACATTGAAGACAGAAAGAAGTCTTCTAATAGATGTAGATTGGAAGGAATTAATAAGCAAAATGAATGCCAGATACACCTCCAACTCTTATGACTGATTCAATTATTAAGTAAATGAAAGTATGTATAAAGACAACTACCAATTGGGTGGTTAACATAGTTTATTGGAAGTTTAAAAACAGGAATGATCATTAATTATTTAATATTGTTGACTTTCTGTGGTTTATTTATTTATTTTGGTACTGGAGATCGAACTTGGGACCTTGCACTTGCAAGGCAGGTTGTGAAACTACTGAGCTAAATCCCTGTCCCTGACTTTCTGTGCTTTAAAAAAAGTGCTAGTCTTTTAAATTGTAAAGTGTGGTATTACAGAAATCATTAGATATTATAGAATCACCTCTAGAATATTCTAGTATCAAGGAACTGATATCTTTCTTATTCTAAGCTTTGTTAGTGTAGAGAAATTGCTAGACACAAACTTAGTGTATGTTTATTATTCTACCTCAGTGAGTCTTCTTTTAAAAACAGGTTTGGTTGTTTCCTGAAAGACAGTGTTACAGGAACTCTACCAAGAGTGCATCGGACAAATGCAATTTCTGGACATTCTTTAAAGCAATGTGGCCATCTAATAAGTGGTAAGATGAGAATTTCTTAGCTAATTTTTTTTCTCATTGAGTTTTTTGCTACTTTTTAGGTATACAGTACAATTACATTCATAATTGGGATCTTGTACCTTTACATGACAGGTCTTGGTTCTCATTTTTTCCCCATATCCCTGCCCTCCCTTCACCCCCTCCAACCTTCCCTATTTACAAAAACTTTGTTTCCATTTTTTTTTGTTTTCTCATATTTGAGATAATGATAGATCTATCTTAGAACAGTTATTGCTCAAAGTCTGTACTGCAACAGACTTTTGAAGGAAAGCACTAAGAAAGATAACAGAATCAGGGGTTCAAGAGGGAACCATATTCATTTGGACAATGTTCTTGTCTTTATCAGTTAATACACACTTGCTTAATGAGCTTCCATTATTTATGAGATTTGTAGTATTTGCAGAAAGTACCTATCCAAACAACAGTCTTCTCAGATAACACACTTAAAAGAAAACTGAGGAAATATTTCTTTCTCAAGTTGACTTGAGAGTCATTTTTGATTCTCAACCAGCAGTGATTTTGCTCTTCTCTTCTTAAGATTTAGCAATGTCTGGAGATATTGCTACTATAATTGTCACAAGTAGGGGAATTCCTACCACATATAGTGTAGCCAGAAATGCTGCTAAACATTCTACAGGATACAGGCAAGTTCCCCACAGCAAAGAAATTCATTCTCCAAGACATCAATAATGCTAAGTATAAGAATTTGAAAAACATTTTAGTATATCATTCTGTCCAAACCAAAGGACAGAATTTTGTGAATCTTGCTATGCAGATATTTCTTAGAAGACATGTGAAGTCTAAGGTGCTACAGACCTTTAATTCTGACAGCTAGTGCTGCTAATTATTGGGAAAAATTTCCAAAGTATCCTCTTAAATTTGACTGAGGCTGATCAGAAAATGAAATGCAACTAAAACTTTTCTTCAACTTATGGATTGGAATGTTAAAATAATCATTCTAGGACTGTATATTATTACATCATTACTTTATGTTTACTGTTGATATTTACTTTTATTTTTAATATGTCTCCGAGAACTTGGTATTCAGTGTTTTTTATTTAAAGAGAGGCGGAGGAAGAGTTCTGAGCAGTAGCTAGTGTCACAAACAAAGATATCTGAAAGAGAAGATGGACCCTTTTTCATTTTCTTATACTGTTGCTTTCCTTCACCTAAAAATAATGTAAATTGGCTCAAATTACAATCAGATTCACCAACTAGATTCCATTTTGTAGTTCATCTGTGACCTTAGTTTAGTCTTGAATTCCCTATCTGATAGGAAGGCTTCTGAACTCCTGTTACCAGGGATCAAATGAAGGACCTTGTGCTTGCAAGGCAGGCAGCGGCACCACTGAGCTAAATCCCCGGCCCTTGAACTCCTGTTTTTTTTTTTGTTTTGTTTTTTTTTTAACTAATGTGCCTGAGTAATCTATACAAATAAATTGATTCCCAAGGCCTCCAATTCAAGGACATATCATAAATCCTTCACTGAGTTTTAAGTTCAGTTTTACATTTGCAGGCAGAAAATGTGCTCCTTGGTAGTATTTAAATATGACCTGACTAAACACCAAACACTCTCAGTTCCTTGACCCCTAAAATCTCCAATACCAGAAAAGAAATACATCTGTTATCACAGTTCAATCACATTTGGGCATCTAGTGCCCCTGTCCTGATATGCAGGGTTCCAAAAGCTGACTGACTGTCCAGTAGCAGCAAGGGGCCTTTTAGAATCAATATGTTGGTGCCAATAATAGCAAAGTCTAGTTTTTAACTGTATTTTATGTCAATTTGGCTATGAATATCTAGACATCTGAAAGTGAGTGTCTCTATCATTTTCTGTTTCCTTTTTTCCTCCTGTGAAGGCTAACACCCCTCCACCAAGTGCAGCTGCAATTTCTGCCACTTTGAAGTCTGCAAGTAGATCAGTCAGACCCCACCACCACCACCACTCCTCTAGTGAGTGCCCCTGCCACAGGCAGAGCTGCCAGCTTGTATTTTGCAGCCTTCCCCGAGAGTTTGGTTTCCTCTTCAACATTCATAGTGGCAGTGTGACATGGTCTGCAATGCTGTCAGTCTTCCCCTACTGAGAATTCATGAGGAGAGAGAAATCAGTGACAGTTAGTTAAGTTCAATTAAATCCACTGCTAAGGTTTCCTATGATTCTGCAGCATTTTGATCTCAAGGAATGTCAGGCAATGCATATATCTGAGTCAAACTCTGAGAATCGGTGTCAGAGTCAGGAGTGTGAATGGCTCTACCAATAGTCATGAATCTGGCCAAAGAAGGCTGTAGTAAAGTTTCTTCATTATTAAATTGTTTCTTAAGTTCTTCAACAGGTGCCAAATGGAGTTGGAGAAATTCAACTGTTCCTGCTGATGCTTCTTCTTTAACAGGATCTATCATTCTGTTCAGGCATATCGGTCATCGTTTTGGACTTTCAAACAAAGCTTCTCTATTTCTCAAATATTGGAGTGGAGTTGCTGAACTGTACGTCCCCCATTGATATGCTCTTCATGCAACTTGTCCCAGATTCTGCGCCATTGATACATCTCAATATTTTTCTGGTGCCTTGGACCCTCATCAAGTCTGTTGGGATTGCTATCTTAGTGAATTTCTGGATAGCTGGTTCGGGACAGTGTCATTTCACTTTTTCTTTGTCTTCAAACATCCTAAAAAGTTTGTGTCACTTCCCCTTCCATTTGCTTTTTAGGTTTAAAGTATTTTAAATTTTTAGGTTTAAGTATTTAAAAATGTGTAACTTTTTTCTCTCCCGTTAACACCACCCCCTCAACACACACACACACACACACACACACACACGCACACACACACGCACGCACACTTTAAGTCTGTAATTTGAATTGTAATCAGTTAGCAAAAGTTACAATGCCTTAGTTATAAACATGGAAGGCGGATTTATCCAGTCTAATAGATGTAGCTAACCTGAGGTGAAATACACTTCCTATTTTATAAGATCAAAAGTATATATTAATACAATTTGATATAAATTACTCAAGGGTTATTTCCAACGACTGCATATTACAGAAAACTTTAAAGAAAAAGAATATTGTATTTTTCTCTGTACTGCTTAGTCATTAATTTATTCTAAAACTTAGTCTTACTCACTCAGCTTGATTTTAAAGTTCCTTCCTAACTCTTCCCAAATATCTTAAATTAAAATTCAAAAATGCTCCCAGTAAACCTCTAAGCTCCATATTAACTTTAATAAAAAATTTGGAGGTAGGTTTAAAACTTTCAGGTAATGATAAAGAAAATATTTTGTTTGTAAGTATCTCATCTCAACTGTCAGCCTATTTTCTCATCTGCGGCAGACTTGAAAAGAGATTTTAGTTTTTATAGATTCCTGTGTCCATGAACCACTGAGGGGAACACAATTTCCTGCCATCTCACCATTTTTTTTTCCTGAAAGTTGGGATATTTTCTATCTTTCTTGTGCTTAAAATTAGTTTTACAACTTCATACTTCGTAGGAGTAGAAAGCTGTATAAATAGATTATGGCTTATATTGCTGAGTATAGTGCTTCCTTAGCTAAGATTCTAATATATTTGGGTTTTAAAAAGCAAGAGCCTAATTTAATTCTTTACCTGTTGAATGAACTATCTACATTTTTGCATGTAAGAAAATTTTTGTTTAAAAGGGTGCTTAAATAGAAAAATATAATTTAACAAAAATTTAAAGTAAGAAAGAATTATTTCACCACTCACATACAAGAATGCTCCATATTTGGTAAATATTTGACATGGACAATCAGTGTTAAAGCTTGTAAGTGATACTCATAATAGACCTAAGTAGTTGAAAGTAAAGAAACCAGAGATAAGAAGCTCCTTCATATAGTGAAAGAGGTCAAAAGCACATCAGTTTGGTTAATAAAACAACTCTTGGCACGCATTATCAGGATTGTTGTTTTCATTGCCGTATTTTCTACTGTCCATTGATCTTCCCAGCATGCATGAAATGATGCTTGTAATGCTGCATGCACCTTGCAGCTTAGGAAGCAAAATAATATTATTTAATGCTAATATTCTGGAGGTGCTTATTGTATCATGTTTATTTTGACCAGCATTTAATAATTAGGGACACAATGAAATCTGAAATTCTTTAGTTAATAGCCAAAAATGGGACATTTTCTTTCCAGATTACCCTACTGTCCAAATGGTAGTTGACATCCTACCTCTAAAAAGGAAAGTGACTGAATTTGCTCTGTGTATTTCATTTATTCAGCTTGCCACAGAGATATTTATGAAGGAATTGATATGAGAGGAGCCAATTTTAATGTATCTAAGGTCAAAAGTGTTGAAGAATGTCAAACACTGTGCACCAATAATATTCATTGCCAGTTTTTCACTTTTGCCACACAAACATTTCACAATGCAGAGTACCGGTGAGTAAATTTCATAGGGTTTTTTTTTTCCTTGTGGTGGTGCTTTCAGGATTTAATTGCATTCTTCATAACTTTACTTTTTCCTTTCAACTGAAAACCAAGCAGGGATTTTGTCCTAACCACTTTCCTTATTTACTTATGTGATGTTAATATCATTTTTACTGAAGAGAATAAGTACCATTTGGTCCACAGGTAAAATGTGTTTGTGGAGTGAGGGTTTAGAGTTATAGAATAATGTGTTGTGCTCCATTCTCAACCTAAACTGCCATCTAAAATGGTAAAGATGTCCATTCCACTGACCACTCAAGTCCCTAACCCATAATCCAATCAAAGTTATTGTTCTAATTGCCTTGCTGTGTTCCACATCCCGCAGACCATTTGTAATTGCAGGTATTACCTGGTCTGCTCCATGCATCTCGAACAATTTGAAGCAAAGTAACCTTTTCTTCACATTCAGGAACTGCTGCCTATTAAAACACAGTCCAAGTGGAACACCTACTGGTATAAAGACACTGAATAACGTGGTATCTGGATTCTCACTGAAGCCCTGTGCACTTTCAGAATTTGGTAATTGGAGCACTACTATTTCACTACAAAATGTCTTTGTAGATGTGACCAAGTTAAGGACTTCGAAATGGGAGGTTATTCTGCGTGATGTAGATGTGCCCAGTGTAGTCCCAAGATTCTTGTAAGTGAAAGGGGAGGCAAAAGGGTTAGTCAGGGATAGAGATTTGAAGCTGTCACACTGCTGGCTTTAAAGATGAAGCAAAGCCCATAGGCAAAGCATGCAGGTGACCTCTGGAAACTGAAAAAAGCAAGCAAACAGATTCTCCTTACAGATTCCCAAAGAAAAAAACCCCTGCCAGTATCACAGGTGTAATCCAATAAGACCCATCAGACTTCCTGTCTCTAGAACTGGAAAATAATAAACTTGCACTGTTGTAAGCATTCATGTTTGTGAAATGCCCCTAATACACAGTAATCGGAAACCAGTGCAGTGATAATGTACAGAAACCTGGAAGACCATTGTTTGATGGTGTTCATATTTAGTGAAATGACTCTACCACGATGAACCAAAAAGCCCAGTTTTGGAGGTCCTTACTGTGCCATCACCACTAACATTCTATATTGATAATGATTTTGGTAAAACAAACAAGCTAGCTCTAAAGAAAGCGATCCTTGGAATAAGGAGTGCCTGTCCTTTCCCACCTGCACAGGTCGTACCATGACTGCAATATCCCAGACCACTTCAAAAGATGGGAATCGGGATGGTAAAATGCCTAAAAGTAATGGAAAATTTAAAAATGATTAAAGGAAAAACAACTTGAAAAAGAGTCAAGATGAGGCCTCATTTTTTGATGGCCTTTTGTTTGTCTGTAAATGTCATCACTGTAAAAGGGATTACATTAGTCTACGTGATTCTATAGGGAATACTTAAATAGATATTAATGTGCAGAAAATAGGAAAAATATACTAACACCTGCAGTAGTCCCGAAAAGAAATGGGTCTTGTCCTGTGGTAGTGAGTTCTTTATCATTATAAATGTCTAAGGAAAGTTGTACGATAACTTGTGAAGAGTGTCCCTGTGAGGATGCTTCTGTGGGTTAGCATGGATGATCCTGCATATGTCCTCTTCTAGCTTCTAAAGTTTATGTCCATTTAAAATTTTATTTTTTAGTTGAGGTCTGATTTTCACTGCCAGTATGAAAGTATAACGAGAGGTGTTCTTTTGTAGTGCGGCTGTGTCCATTGAGTTTATGATTGTGTTTTTCCCATTATTGCTATCATTATTTTTTAAATGTCCACAATTTTAATATAATTTATCAAGTAGACTGAGTAAATAGTATAAGCCCAAATAAAAATAAACTTGAGAAATAAAATTATGGAAAGAGACTAAAAGAGTCATTCAATTTTTTCCTGTTCTAATTTCAAAGGGCAAATGGCATTTCTGTCAACTGGAATTTTTGTAACCTGTTTTTGTTTAAACATCTTTAATAATGTTCAAGAATAGACAAAGTATAACCAGTTTATGGCCAAGATAATATAAAGCAAATGTGGACACACAGAGTCACCTGAACCCTGCACTGCTGGAGAATGGAACTAGCAGCATGGGTTGGCCTAACGTTATTTCTCACCAAAGTTAGAACCCTTTTGCCTTCTGCTGAAGGGCAAACAAATTTGGGGATATTTTAATAGATAATTTTTCACTTAGGATTTGTAGTGCTACAAATAACAGCACCTCCCTTTTTGCGATGACAATGAACAAATAACTTTAGCATTATGTCACTGACTGAGGAATGTCTTTCCTCTGAGTCCACAGGTTGTCGCATGGACCTTTTCCAGCATCTTGCCTTTGCAGACATGAATGTGGCCAGAGTAATCACCCCAGATGCTTTTGTGTGTCGAACTATCTGCACCTATCATCCCAGCTGCCTCTTCTTTACATTCTATACAAATGCATGGACCACAGAATCCCAAAGGCAAGTGTGAAAGAGTGGCATGTGCTGCTCCTCTCTCATCATTTTTAGTAGTTTGAGTTTGAGAATGTTTTATTTCCCTCAAAACACAGGAACCTGCAACTTAAACGGGTGCCTTTCTTCCAGGTGCGTATTTGATAAGAGATGAGTAGACTTTTCTATGTACCTTTTCTTAAGTAAAACAAACATTCCACTGAGTCAATGAAAAAATAGCCATGGGAGAGAAAGATCTAATATGTTTCCTACTGGTATTAATATTTTGTATTAGCCTGGGGTCAAAGCTACTCCCTGGCATCCTTTAAACTTGTTGACTCTAATTTCTGTCTATTTTAGAAATCAAGATTCTGGTCCTACCGCTTTATCCACGCTAACCCACCCTTTTCTTTATAAATGTAGGAGAATGGAGTAAAATATACAATAACACCAACAGCATAAATCCCAAGGATTTGTTCTATGACATTTTTTGTTTTTTATTTTACCATTTAGAAGGTTGAACTTTGTTGTTACCCTCTTTTCGCGTTATCTGTGCCTGTTACTTTTCAACAGTGGGAACTATGCCTTGATTTATAGGTAAACTCTATGATTTATTAAAGTCCTAGGAACTGACTTCCAACGTATTTCTCAGAGGAATAAAATTTGCAATTATATTTTTGACGTAAACTGATTTTATACTTATCTAGTGCCTTTAATACAGTTTTCCTTCTCTCTATTTTAAAACTAGAAATGCTTGCTTCCTAAAGACTTCTAAAAGTGGGACACCAAGTTCCTTTACTCCTCAGGAAAACACAATATCTGGACATAGCCTTTCAACCTGCAAAACAACTTTGCCTGGTAATGTGATTTTGTAATGATACTATTAACATGTAACAAATCCAATCATTTTCTAACAAGTAATAGTGAAAAAAATAATCTTCAAAGCATCATAAAGGTGTGTTGTTGTATTTGTTGCTTTCTTGTGTTCTATCTTTTTATGTTTTTCCTTGGCACAGAACCCTGCCTCTCCAAAATTTATTCTGGAGTTGCCTTTGGAGGGGAAGAATTGAATGTCACCTTTGTGAAAGGAGCAAGTGTTTGCCAAGAGAGTTGTACGAAGACAATCCGCTGCCAGTTTTTCACTTACTCCTTACTCCCAGAAGACTGTAAAGGAGAGAAGTAAGGGAGCACATCCTTGATGAGATATTTCATACTTTGCCCTTCTGTAAAGGCATAATGTTTGTACTGTTCATTTTGCCCAGGTGTAAGTGTTCTTTAAGATTGTCTTTGGACGGTTCTCCAACCAGGATTACCTATGGGACACAACGGAGTTCTGGTTACTCTCTGAGATTGTGTAAAACTGGGGAGAGCTCTGGTGAGTAAAGTGCACTGTGTTAAAGTGTGACATTTTGGAAGCCTGTTTAGTCTTATGTGACTGAATTGTGCATGTCATTTTCCTTGGTGGAAGGGGACTCTGATTCACTTCTAATTCTGACCATGAGCATCAACTCTGCTTTTTAGTCTGCACAACAAAAACAAATGCACGCATTGTGGGAGGAACGAACTCTTCATGGGGAGAGTGGCCCTGGCAGGTCAGCCTGCAGGTGAAGGTGACAAGTTCAAGCCACCTATGCGGAGGGTCCCTCATTGCACCCCAGTGGGTCCTGACTGCCGCGCACTGCTTTGATGGGTAGGTTATGATGAGTCTTATCGTGCCTGGGCCTTTGGAAGAATCTATAATCAGTTTCTTCATCACCCGGTGACCTTACTAATAGAGAATTATTCTATTTTTTGAAACAAATATTTTATTTAAATTTATATTTAACTAATACATGAAAACATAAAAGTTGTACACATTTATGGGGTACTATTGGGTTTTCATACCTACACACTGTTCATTGTTTAAATTAGAACAACTGTTTCTATCCTTTTGAATATTTTTTCTGAAAGCATTCAGAATCCTTTCTTCTACCTTTTGGAAATATATAGGATATTATCATCAGCTATAGTGACTTGATTGTACAATAGCAGGCAAGAAAGTCTTACTCCTGCCTAACCTTAACTAAGTCCCCATTGGTCACCCTTTCTCCCTCTCCCCCTCCCCTTTACTCTCCCCTGTGCTGTCTGATAACCATTGTTCTGTTCTCAACTTGTATAAGATAAACCTTCTTACATTCCATATAGTGGTGAGATCATGTGGTATTCTTTCTGTGGCTGCTTTATTTTACTTAGCATGATCTCTGGTTTCATCCATCTTGTTGCAGATGACAGGATTTCATGCCTTGTGATGGTTGTGTACCACCTCATTTCTCTCCATTCCGCACATAAGGGACTCCTCTTGAGTTGTCTCTGTTTCTTGGCTGTTGTGAATTGTGCTGCAGTTAACATGGGAGTGCAGATGTCTATTCAAATACTGACTTCATTTCCTTTGAATAAATATCCAGTAATGTCATTCATGGGTCATATGATGGTTCCATTTTTTTTATGTTTTGAGGAATCGCCATACTGTTTTCCATAATGTCTATACTAACCTGCATGACAGTGTATAAAAGCTCCTCTTTCTCCACATCTTTTCCTGCAGTCATTAGCTTTTGTCTTTTTGATAGGAGACTTTGTTATAGGAATGAGGTGATATTCTATGGGTTTGATTTGCATTTCCCTGATGATTAATGATGTTGATGACATCTTACACTTTATCTTATTTGAAAAGCTGAGAAGTGATCAAAGACATTTTAAAACAGCGATGATATGCAAATATTTAACAACTGAGAGCATCCTGGCCACTCTGACACATTAGGGCAGAGCGTGGCCGGTTTTAGGACTGACACTTTCCTTCCGCAGGGCATCACTCTTGTCTAAGAAGAAGCTTACAAAACGCCCCAGTCAGGAACCTCTCCTCTGGCCACTTCCTAAATGTATTCTTCTAAGCCTTTTAATTCAGGTCAATATAAGTTTTACTTTTTGCTCTTTGATTTCCAAATGTATCACTAAAAGATCTACTACTGTACTACTAAAATATACTACTAAAAACATCTAACAGCTTATCGCTCTGCGTACTTCAATGTATATAATATGATACAATGTTTTTATTTTATTGGTCAAATAACACAATATGGCAGATTTTTAAAGTTTAAAACAGAGACTTTGTAGTTAGAACAGAGTGTGAGTTATAGCTCTGCTACTCGTTAGAGGTGTAGCTATGGGCAATTTATGAATTTCTCTAAATTTTGCTCTATAGAAAATATGAATTTGTTATGTTTTGGGGAAGATTACATAGCACCTTAAATGTTTAGCACTGTACCTGGAACATAAGATGCATTCAATAAGTGATGTAAAAGTGCCCAAGGCATGTGCATGATAAGCAAAAGGGATACTAAAAGACATTTTATCTCTCTCAAAAAATAAACACAAATAAAATGTTTTGATTGTAGTAACATTCACTCCTGAGATTGCTGTGTGTGAAGATGGAGAAGCCTGGTGCCAAAATACAGCAGTCAGAGGCCCAGCTGGGTAGAGCAAGTCTTCTCCTCATGCCGGTTAGCAGTGGGAGCACCTCTGTTACTGTCATGATGAGGCAAGAGGTTGGCCCAGAAGAAAAAGCCCTGAGATGGGAACTAGTGGCTCCTCTCCTTGCGATCACTTGTCATCAATGATTTTCATTCTTGAAAGCTCAGTGCTGTGAGTTTATGAGAGACAACAGACATGGAAATATTGTGATTCAGTTAAAGAAAGCCACTTTGCCCCTGATAATTCCATTATTTCTTCCCGCATTTTGTGCATTTCTTGCACCACTTACGTGATAATCATAAGCATTTCTTTATCTCTGCACAAAAGATCATATTTTTTAATTTATTTTGTATGTAGTCACCTTTCGGTTGATTTATATGTTCATATGTCCTAAAATATAGATAAATTATAAACAAAGAAATTCCCCTCATTTGGTCTATTAGAGAGTCCTGTTTTCGATGAGTCTGACTAGTTCACAGCTATGAATTTAGTGGCAGCAGTTGCTTTCAGGTTTGGTGAACACAGATTGATTTCCCCACAACTTCTCATAGCAGCAGCAGTGTTCTTGTATTTTCACTTGCCCTAAACACGGGGTCATTACATCAATGCACATTTTTCAGTGTTTCAAAGCAAATCTTCAGGGACGGAGCACTACTGCTGTTGTCAATGACAAACTTCTGGGAGGAAAAACTAGGTCATGCATACTGTGATAATTGTCTTCCCTGTTTTCTCTTCTTCTTTCTCTTCCTCTTCCTCCTCCTTCTTCTTCCTCTTCTTCGCATCCTCCTCCTCCTCCTTCTTTCTTTTGAAAGAGAAATTAAAGGAAAGATTAACACTTATCAAAGATGCATCATTCCCGTTTCAAAGTGTGTTTTTTTCCCCCTCTAGAATTCCCTTCCCAGATGTTTGGCGCATTTATGGAGGCATTTTAAATCTGTCGGAGATTACAAAAGAAACTTCTTTCTCACAAATAAAAGAACTTATTATTCATGAGAAATATAAACTCTCAGAAACTGGTCACGACATTGCCTTAATAAAACTACAGGCGCCCTTGAATTATACTGGTATGCAGCATATTTAAGGGGAAATTGAATGGCTGATTTGTATTGGTTTAAATTTTCAGTTTGAATGATCTGCAGATTGTCATTATCTACTGCTTTGGTGCAATTAGGGAAAGGTGAGGGTTGCCAGGACAGTGAAGATATGCAGGACTTGACCTAAAACATTTTCTATTTGAAGGCCAGAAATGCCCATTGGTTCTTTCAGGGAGGAATACAATTGCACATGCACAATTGAAATCGTAGACAAAGGAAATGTGTTTGCCATCTTGAAACACTGGATTTCCTTTGGCAAGAGCAGCATAAGTGCCATGCCTTGGGCTTGGAAATCTTGAAACTGAAATAAGTGGGACCAGAAGTTAATTTCCAGGAATAACGGGTAGAGAAAAGACTGATGCAGAAAGAAGCTTCTAAGCCTGGAGCATCAAGGCTGTCTTGTAGGTGCAGTGTCCACAGAAGCCCTGAACACAATTATCTGCTAGGGGTCATTAACAATTATGGGACCTTGAGCAATTGGCTTTATCTCCTTGCACCACTAATTTTCTCATTTGTAAAATGAGAATGATGATTTCCTTGTGAAAGTAGTGAGTTAGGACATTTCTTTTTAACAGTGTAAACACTTCTGCTATGCCTATTAAATATGCCACAAAAATGCCAAAAAGACCTAAGAACTTCTAAATGTTTTAGACAGTAGATTTGGGTTCTAAGTTTTCACTTCTTACAGGAAATTTTAATGCCAAAACTGTCATCTAAAAACAACTGATAGGCAAGAGATCTTTTTAAATCATTTATCTTGAACTTCAGCAGAAAGCAGAATAGTTATTCTTGGCTCTGTACTATATAAAGAGTATGGGAAAACATAAGGATGTATTTTTAAAGCCAATATTTATGAAAGTTTAACCAAAATCTAACTTCAGAATTACCTTTCAGAATTCCAAAAACCAATATGCCTACCCTCCAAAGATGATGGAAATATAATTTATACCAACTGCTGGGTAACTGGATGGGGTTACAATAAGGAAAAAGGTACAGCGTGACATTTTAATTGTTCTTCCTGAAGCCAGTCTTTTGTGTTAAAATAATGGAGTAGATCAGTTCAATCAGCTTCTGTTTAAATTATGCCCAAACTCATAATCTTTTCAATCTAGTATTTTAAAATGTTTGTTCAGCGATTCTATTTATTTTCGCTTGGCCCTGAATAAATTCGTAAGGTAACTTTTGTAGCATCTTATTTCATAATAATAATGATCATTTGCTTGATGTCTTATAAAGGATGGGGTCCCTATCAGGCCACAAGCCCACTGAAACCCATATATTTTTTATTATCTACACTTAGAATTGAAGAACATGTTAAATTTCAGTTGGAATTTAGTGAAAGTAGAGAGGTATTTTCTTTTCTAATTTATGGACCATGTGATTCCTGGGTAAGAATTACAGCTTATAGTTACTCATATTATTTCAATTTCCCTTAAAATTTTCCATTCTTCTTTTCCAAGATCAAGCTCCTGATAAACACCATAGGGAATAATATTTGCACTGTTCTTTATAAAAAAATAATTGCTGACCAAGCTTTCTCCATTTTTCCTGAATGAGCTGTGTATTTAACAAATTAAAAAATTTCACATTTTTGACTAATACCTTTGAGCAGGAAAAACGTGAAAATAACCTTAATTTATCAAACATAAGTCCCAGCATATGTCCAAGAGGAACATAGGTAGAAATTATTTGTAAATAAATTTTTCTTCATGAAAAAATGTCTGCTCAAAGAACAGAATGCTCCTTTCTTATCAAATGTTTGGGATTTATTTTCAGTAATGTTTTATTTGTATACTATAATTTTGAATATATAAAACAAAACAGTGAAACCAGGCTTTCATGTTATAAACAATAAACGTACAAAGGAATTTCTGGGGTCTATTTTTTTTTTAATGAGAGGAAGGCAGAGAATATGGAAGCAAAGTTTCTGGTCAGCCTGAGTTATGAAATTTTAATTGCGCATGAGATAGAATGAAAGCTCTCTAATCGTAGCTACTGAGGGAGATAGAGCTTGAGGCATGAAAATCCCAAGTTCAACGTTAGCCTGAGCAACTTAGCATGCCCCTGTCTCAAAATCAAATTTTAAAAGAGCTGGAGATGGGGGAAGGTTGCCTGAAACTAAGTGGTCGAGCTCTTTCTCGCCTGGCATGCAGGAGGCCCTGGATTTCATCCCTAGCACTGCAGAAAAGAGAGAGTGGGGAGAGGAGACCTGAGGAGGGAAGAGGAGGGGAGGAGAGAGGAAGGAGAGAAGGAGACATTTCCTCTTCTTCTTTGGTTCACTGACTATCTTTTTAGCACTTGCTGCCTGTTTTAATTAAAAAATATGACTCTAATGCAAAGCACCATCCTGATTTGTTTGAAGACTTTAGACTGATTTCCATATTTATTTTATTTCTTCCCTCTAAAGTTACATATTGGTTACTTCATAGGTGAAATCCAAAATATTCTACAAAAGACACGTATTCCCTTGGTAACAAATGAAGAATGCCAGAAAAGATATAAAGATTATGTAATAACCAAACAGATGATCTGTGCTGGCTACAAAGAAGGGGGTAAAGATGCCTGTAAGGTAATGCATTAGTTTATGCTAAAATGCACAGTAGTCCATTTGAGGTCATTCGTTTCAGAACATAGTTTCCAATCACATATTTAATTGTAGTATTTTAAAAATTCAGAGACAGATAAATATACAAAACATACATTATAGAGGACTTATGAGGTACAAACCAAAATCTGTACATGTGCTATACTTAGGAAGTATAATGGAATATACAAATATTTTGATAAAACATAAACACATTCAACATTTGAATTTTGGGATACATATGTCAAATTTGTTAGATTTTCCTCAAAATAAAGAGGGAGGAAACTGAAAAAGCAGCCACTCATTCATTTTTACCACACATCAGCAACCAGTAAGGTATCTGAAGAAACTTAAGAAGCTATGGTGTGTGTGTGTGCGTGTGTGCTGTGTAAAGTGTGACTACAAAATTTTAAAAGCAATAATGTATTTGAGTCATCTCTAGTATAACTTTATCATTCCATTTTTCTTCTCACTGTGGCTCAGGGAGACTCTGGCGGCCCCTTGGTTTGTAAGCACAATGGAATGTGGCGTTTGGTGGGCATCACTAGTTGGGGCGAAGGCTGTGCCCGCAAAGAACAACCTGGTGTCTATACGAAAGTTGCTGAATACGTGGACTGGATTTTAGAAAAGACACAGAAAGATGATAGAAGTGCTTTGATGGTGTCACCAGCGTGAAGAGGCTGTATAGCGAAGAAAAACCTAGACCATAGCGCTAGTTTACAGTCTGGGTTCACGTCAAACAGTGAGCCTTGGACTCCCCATCCATTAAATGTGGAGAATGGATCTACCTCCAGTCCTTGCCATAAGGATAAAGAAAGGTACACAGCTGCTAGGGACGATGACTTGCCAAGCATGCTGTTAGCATTGAGTAACCAGGAGCGGGTAATGAGAAAAGGCTGAAGAGCTTTGGGATTGTGTGTTGTAAAATAAAATGGAAAAAAAAATGCGTGATTAGAAGTATTTCCCTGTGGTTGTGAAACAAAAGTGAAAACAAGTGACGCCGGATTCTGGCACAGTGCTCCCTAGAACCCAGCTGCCTGCTATGCTCGGGGTAAGAAGCTAGGAAGCCTGGGTTTTTGTTCTGCCCAGTGAAAGAAAGAAATCTAATATTCTCCTTTACAATAGAAAGATGGATTACCTGAACCTGGGAGAATAGGACACCTCTTCATGAAAGCCACTTACATTTGTTTCCGAGCATTGCATCAAGGGTCCAGGCTGGGTGTGTAGAGGAGACCTGTTGGGCTGCACTTTTCTGGTCACAACTCCTGCAATAGTCTCATTGCTGAGCTTTCATGGAGGGCAAGGAATCTGATTCACAAAGAACATCAACCCGAGCAGCTCAGTGGGTACTGAGTTGTACAATGGTGATCCAAAAGCATTGTTAGGGTTAAAGCATTGCATAAAATCTGGCCTTATAAACTCAGGGTAGTAAGTAGTAGTTATTAGCCTTGGAATGGAAGATCTGAGTTATACACAACACATGTGCCAAACTTGCCAATGATTACCACAGTTGACCACAGGTAGTTTGATTCAGTTCAGTTAAGCTGATTAATATGTACATAAGAGCTGCCAATTAGAAGATATTGTGTAAGTAGAAAAATAAAAAGAAATTTCTAAAAAATTAAATTTTCCTTCTATACACAAAGATACAGAGTGGTAGAAAGGAATAAAAATGGAGGAGGCTAAAGGAAAACCAGGAGGTCCTGGTTACCCAAAGCCTATGCCACTGGAAACTAAAGAAGTAAGAATTGTCCCCGAAGCAATGCTTTTTTAAGACTTAGCTAGATTGCATGAACTATTTTTCTAGAAGCACATAATTACAATGTTTATTTTTGTGTTCAATAAAGATATTGGTCTTGCTATGTGTGGAAGTTGTTTTATATTAAAAAGAAAAAAAGTTTTGCAATGAAAACCTCTTACCTTGGGATTTTGATATTGATAATTCGAGCAGGTATTTAAACAGAACTTTGGAGGGCTCACAGGGTAATCCTCTGCCTTTAGTTCAGAAAATGTCCTCAATTAGGCAAAACAGGAGAGGTTGTTTTGTTTTTGGTACCAGGGATTGAATTCAGGACTTAGTGCTTATGAAGCATGCAGTGGCAGCAGTGAGCTAAATCCCTGACCCCCAAACAGGAGAGTTTTGAGATGTGGCACTTTCCTGCGGCATCAGTTACCATTTTAAATTGCTGATTGGAGCCAAGTACTACTTTATTTTGTTGTTGTTGTTGTTTGTTTGTTTGTTTTACCATCTTGCAAATATGACAGAGGAGCCCTTCACACAGCCTAAGAACTATGTAAGTGGCTAGGAAAACAAAAGGTTGAAATGATCTCACCTTCACAGGTCCATGGCAGAACCAGCCCAGGATGAGTGACTCTGGTCCTAGTCCTGGAAATGAGACAGTTAAAGACCACAAGGGGAATTCAGGGCAAGTCCACTTCTGGGCCTTAACTCAGGGCCTGTTACCCATTAAAGATGTGACATATAATTCTTCCTTGTTCTCTCACTCACCCAGTCCTATCAAACTCAAAAAACAGGTGCATGTCTATAGCCAGGATGCCTTTGTCATAACATCTCCAAGTGTACACTAGATGAGAAAATAAAATTTTAGGAATCATCTTAGAGGGACAGAGGACAAACCAATTCCATGGCCCATAACCTATTAATAAGAGTCTTAACAGCTTCTTTTATATAAAAATAGCAGTAAATTTTTCACTTGAGCTTACAAATGCCCAATGGGTAACTAAAAAGCAAAATAAAGGTTGACATCTCTGTTTTCATTTTCTGTCTGCATCCTTATTACCTTAAAACTTTGAGCCAGATCCTTACTTGACACTGCTTGTAGACATGTCAATTCCTTAAAAAGTATCTGCTTAAAACTGGTAATACAAGATTTATTAGCTCTAAATTTTCCAAGACAATAGCATCCTCTTTGAAGACTGAAGATTTTCAGAGACATTCAACCACTGCCTTTTCCAATGTCCTTCTCAAGACCCTCCAGAATGGTCATCTAAAAGTCATCGCTCTAAACCTGAAATCAGCAGGGCCTCTGCAGATCTGAAACTACCCTTACTCCCAAAGCAGAAGAAAATCATCTCAGGAGACCTGATTGCCTCTCAAACTGTAACAACTTCTGCAGAGCTCAAAAATCAAAATTGAAGGCAGGGATTTAGCTCAGTGGTGCCACTGCCTGCCTCACAAGTGCAGTTCAATCCCCGGTACAAAAGAAAAATCATGATCAAGACAATATCAGACCTTAGCACACCTGAACAATTTAATGAAAGCTGACTCCTTTCCTTTGTTAACAAATCAGTCTGATTTTCTTGATTCGCCCTGAACCCTCTTCAACTCTTCTCCAAAAAAATAAGGTCAATTCCTATTTTCTCTGCATTTTTTTGCAGTAGAAATTTTTGTCTTTAAATTAATGTTGCAGCCAGGTTTCAGTTCCAATATTACTGAAGCAAGGACCCACATTAGCCAGTAACAGGAACTAGCACAGCACTTGCTCGACAACATTTGTACACAGCATCCCATAGGGAGTTAATCAGAGCTTCCAATATCTGTCTTTAATTTATATACAAACCTTTTCTTTGTATTATTGTTTATATCTATCTGTTCCATTAAAGTACAAGCAATTTCAAAGGAGATCTTCTCTCATTCATACTGCATATAACTTGGCGTTCATTAAATATCTCATGAATAAGTATATTTTTCTTATAAACAAAGCAATGGAGGTTTGAGGAGATAAAAAGATTAGCTCAAGGTCACTGGCAAGGACAGAGCCCAAACTAAGCTTGGTATTCATATCCCTGATCCCTGATATGGTCCATCTCATATTGTCTCATACTATGAGAAGGATTAAAATGACAAAAGCATTTACAACTGTCATTTGCTCATTTCATTATCTATCATCCAAAACAGGGTTGATTTTTGCTCCTCCTCCCTAGGATATGTAGTAATGTCTCCAGGTGTTTTGGTTGTCTTAGGGAAGCAGTGCCATCAGATATCGTTGGTAGTGGCCAGGGATACTACTAAACATCGTACAGAGCACAGAAGAGCCCCTAAGTACCAATAAAGCTAGACTTGAGAATACCCTGATCGAAGTTCAATATTAGACTTGATTATAAAAAGAGGATATTTCGTGTACAGCAGCAAGGCAGGCTGTGTCCTTTTTCAAAATGAATTCTGACGAAAAAGAAAAGGAATTCTAAGAGCAAATCATCTCCACTAGGCCTCTGTCCCAGGCACAGGAGTTTAGCGCACAGTATGCCCAGCACATTTCACATTTGCAATCCTAATTTCTGACTTACATGTGGTTCTTTTTTGACTAAATTTTAATTTCTTCCTGCAATTTCAATAATTCCCAAATTTGACTGGGCTTAAAAACACTTGTTTCATTGCCAAAATCTTTACCTTTGAGATAAATTAAATCAATGTAAGAACTTTAAATTGCAATGAATTAGTTAAAATTTTTAGATGACTGTTGTCGGTTTGAAAGATTTATTTGAAGGATTTCTATGCAGCTAAGAGTCCTATTGTATTTTGAGTGAATAGACAAAATATCTCAGAATCTTTATGTAATTTCAAAGGCCTTACAAGATCTTTGCTAATTACCTAAATCAAATCTAGAAAATTCTATCTGGTTTTTCAGTGAAGCATTTCTTTGAAGTCTTTCTGTTTCTCTCAATAGACTTGGAGCATTATCATTATCTTCTTTGCATTGAAGCTATGGTAGAGAGGTGGGATTTCACGGAGTAAACAATACAGAAGAGTAAGAATCTTATATAATCTTACATATCAGCTTTCCCTGAAAATCCTTCTTGGCATGAACTTGTCATTCTGTATTTAAGCCTCATACAAGGACAGGTATCAAACACATGCACTTTTGTGTGGCTGGAATGTGTTTAATTTTAAATGGGAAACTCAAGACAGTAACTAAGGGCTTCTCATGCCAAGATGAGTTAGCGATGCATCGGCAATGGATCAAATAAAAACATCTGAGTAGCTGACTTCCCATAGAACAGGAGAACAGTGCAGCAGTACTGCATGTCAAGCCTCCATCTAAATTCAAACCCTCACACCTTCACCTTGCTGCCCTGTGGAAAAAAGGGCTGGCTTCCCACTTCTTTTGAAAAAAACTCCCATCAGTTTATATGAGATTAAGTTTCAGATTTACCTTTGCGAACTGTGCCCTAAGATCTCTCTTGCCCCTGTATTTTTCTTTCAGTACAAGACTTTGATAGGGCTCTCCAGTGTTCCTCATCTCAAATCAGTTTTCTTCTTAGTCTTTGGGCACCAGGAAATAGATATCCTACAGCTTCAGAACCACTCAGAACATCCATGACAATGTTGCTGTAATATACAGGAAATGGGATGGTCTCTCCATGTCCCCAAATTTTGAAATACTCAAAGTCAACTGGTAACATTTTTCTAGGTGCAGAAGATCACACTCACATTAGCACATTGTCCCTGAACAAAGTACAATGTTTCCTTTGGTGCACACAATTTCATCAAGATTAGTTAGGGTGGGCACATTTGTATTTTCCGCTCTGGTCTTCAGAATATTTTTCAAAAATTTTCCATGTGTAAATTCTAGTTCTTAGTTCTATGGAAAATTGGGAGGCCTCTCTGAATCATAAAATTATCTTTCTTTAAAATTTGTCTAAACCACACATATTAAAACCTTTTATTTTGTTTGGTTGGGTTGTCAGACAACGACATGCAAATCCTTAGGATGGTTTAGTGCCTAATATTATAAACACACCCAGAGAGATAAAGGAACATGGCCAACGTCCATACATAGTTGGTTTACAATGTCATTAAGTGGTTTGTGCTCATGAAATATAAGTAAAAAATCTATCCAGTAGTTCTAGATAGCAGAGAGCCTGGGTTATCTGGTTCTCAGATATAGCTGTGTGAAACTTGGAAAGATATTTCACCAATACACCTGTCTACAAATTACACAAGCACTACTCTTACAAAGTTATCAGGGTACAGGCTTACTTCTCTTTCAGAGAATTGAGCTGTTATTTCATTATTATCTGACTTGCAGCAGCTAGATTTGTCTGCAATCTAAAAAATTATGAGAAGGGCTTAGGATGTAGCTCAGCAGTAGAGCACTTGCCTGGCCTACACAAGGTCTTGGTTCCATCCCAGAACTGCCAAAACCAGAAATGAAATAAACAAAATAAAAATGAAAAGTCATACAACAAGCCTTCTAGGTTTCCAAAAAAAATTTAGAATGTAATTTTCACAAATGGGGTAATAAATGCATATCTTCTTAGAACTAACCATACCTGCATAGGCTTCTGAAAAGGAAACATCATATAAAGGAAAACTGAATCTATAAGAACAACAGGCTGATAAATTGTTTTACCTAGTTGCTAACTCCCAGCAGCTGGTCTCCTCTTCTTACTATATCGCAAATCAATACGTTTGGTAGACTTACCATGTTTGTTTGTTTCTTCCTTTGTAGATTCTGGCATTGAAGTTAGGCTAGAATTAATGGTTAACTCTTGTTGTTTCAAAGTGTGTTTGAATGCAACTTTGTATAGCAGGCACACAAAATGTGAGTTTGCTCAAATGCTCAAATGCGCAAAGGCAAATTCAAATTCTCTAGCTGTTTCTGTGTTTGTCACTTGTATAAATAAACAATTAAGAGAAAACAAACAAATATATGAAAAAAGCTAAAAATGCTACTTCTAAGGCAAATATGAAAAGATTTTAAAATTTTCTCAGATACGCAGTACAAAGAGACAATGTTCCATAATATTGGAAATCTATAAAAATAGGGACTGGGATTTAGCTCAGTGTTCCGTAGCCTGCCTCGCAAGCACAAGGACACAAGTTTGATCCCTGGTACAAAAAAAAAAAAAAAAATCAATAAAAGTAAATATTAAAGCTAAGTGAACATTACCTATACAAAGTTCTTTAGAACAGAATGAAAACCATTTCGAAAGAAGACAAACTTGCTCATTGAGATTGCAGCAAATAAACAAAATATTTTCAGGTATGTTTTCAAAATTTACTTCACATTTCTCTCAAGAAGTTAGGTCGTGAAATGCTTTTTTTCTATGAGGACCCCTTAAAAGTATTTTTGTAGTATAGAACCATTGATATTTGAAGTTTGTCATATTTACTAAAGATCTTTAGATAATACCTATGTTTGAAAGAAGCAGACTGAAAGCAGTCATAGTTTGTACTTAATTATAAGTATTTTGTAAATTGAAAAGAAATATTCAGCAACAATTCTGTATAATCAGGACTGTTTCTCGCTGATGAATCAGTTATTCTGTTCTGGTTTGGTTTAGTTTTTTTGTATTACAGTCTACTCAGTGTTCAGTGAGGATAAATACATTTACAAGTGACCAAGACAATCTATTAATATATTTACAAGAGTTTTTAAAAATAAAAAAATAAGTACAAAATGATTTATAGCTCTTTGATGGATATAGACAGAAACTACAGATATGGAAGGAAAGTAGATGAATTAGAAGATAAAATAAGATGGAAAATTGGGGTGGAAGAGAGGCCAGATGATGGTGACAGAGGATCTGATGGATAGGGATCTGGAGGAGGAGATAGTGAAGGAGAAAAGGCAAGGGACAGAGCTTGGCCCGGTCACTTCCGGCTTCTGCGGAAGAGAGCAGGGCTGACTGCAACACAGGACACCAACTGGAGGAGCACCCAAGGTGTCGAAGGTAATATTCAGCACTCCAAAGTAACCCTGTGGGCACCATCAAATCACCTACTCCCTTTCCTCCCTATTTGTTGTAAATTCTGATATCTGTAATCCAATCGCAAGTTTACATTTTATGTTCTAAAATCATGTACAATTTTCTCGTTGTAGGATGTCCCTACTATGTCTAACAGTGTATTTCATTTTGTTTGCCTCGGTTTCTGGTGGTAAGTAAAACCACAAGTATGCATAAGAAGTAGCTTAGCTTTGTGATCTGTGAAGTGGAAAATAACAGAACAGAAGTCTGTACAGGGAACTCACACTCTTACCCCCACGCACACAGAAGAATCCCATGCCATCTATGCCAGAGAACAACTAAAGTTTTTACTTATTTCCCACTTAAGCCTCTAAGTGTTTGAAAATCAAGGAAGAATTGACATTTATTACATTTACTTCTTTATACTGTAGCTAGCATTTTAAGCATAATAAACTTTTCACTAGCATATGTGAAAATATCAAATCTGGGTAGGTACTTAAAATATAATAAATCCCATATTAACTATGAATTGATATCCTCTACAATTTCATTTCCTTTGTGACACAATTGTTATCCAAGTTAACATAGTCTTTCATTGCAATTATTCTGAAATTATTATTTTTTTGGTAAAAAATGTCAATTGAAGTATTTTGAAACCTGGCCTTAGTAACTGCCTTTATACATATGTAAGTTCTTTACATATGTACATGAAGCATCACTAAAAATTGACCACACACAAGACTCTAAAAGAAGTCTTAACAAATTATAAAAGGTGAAGATTATCAGACCATGTTATTCAGTTACAGTGTAGTTCAAGTAAATATTTTTTAAAAAGATAATAGAAAAATTCCAAATGTTTGAAAAGTTAAGTGTATCTTTTTTCATAAACATAGGTCAAAGAAGAGATCATAACGGAAATTGGAAACTATAATAAACTTAACTTTAAAATATGCAATAACAAAACTTTGGGATGTAGCTCAATCAAGGCTAAGATCAAATATAGATTTTATGGGTATACATTAGAATAGAGAAAAGATAAAAATCGATAGGAGTACAACTCAAGAAAGTAAAATCACCCTAACAAATGAAGTGCAGAGAAATTGGAAAGCAGAAAAAAAGAAAATAGCAGAAATCAACTGAATGAAAAACAACATAGACCAGAGATGAACATGGTCTTGCGCTCTGATCTAATTTATAGTGTGACATCACAATCTGACAAAGACATTCTAAGAAAGGAAAAAGGCTCATGTGTTTTTTCTATTATGAACATACATGCACACAGCACAAATTAAATATTAATAAACTTAATCCAGCAGCATGTTGAAGAAAAATGAAAAGATGATTACATTATAACTGTGGAACAAAGTTAGAGTAGTTTGGGATGAAGTGAATTTAATATTCAAAATCGAATAGATGCACCACCAAAAGGAAGATGTATACCAAAAGGAAGTGATGGCAGAGACTCAAACAGATCTTTGTATTCCTGGGTTCATTGTTGAGGTATACACAATAGCCAAATGGTGGGCACATAGGGGCTGCTGGGGACACATCAAAGTGTAGAACAGCACAAGTGTTCATCAACAGATTAATAAACAATATGGGGATCCTCCTGCTTCAGCCTCCTGAGTGCTGGGATTACAGGTGTGTACCACCATGCTCTGCTTAAACTTTGCATTTAAAATTTATGTATTTATTTGTTTGTTTATTTATGGTACCAATGATCAAACTGAGGACCTTGTGCTTGCTAGCCAGGTGCGGTGCAGCTGAGCTAAATCCCCGGCCCTAAAATATTTTTACATGTTTATAGTGAGGCAGGAAATAGTGGACTCCAGGCAGACCGCTGAACACAAAGGTAGGAGCCAAAAGTGGCTTTTAATGCCGGCAGCTGAGTGAGTGAGTCCTGCCAGCCTTGAGAACCCTGAATAGAAGTTTGTGCTAACTTATATACCTCTTTTCACATCTACGAAGCTTGATTCTATTCGAGTTTTCCTGAAATGATACCACGTAGAATCTTCACAAAACACAGCAGTGAAGCAAGGAGAGCCAGATTTCCAGGACTTTCTGAGTCTGTTATGCTACTTTGGTGACAGATTACAGAAGTTATCACGGCTACTGAAGTGCATTCTACAAAGAGCACAGTTACCTCGTTAGCCCATAGTTGCCTAACAGCACAGTCAATCCATGGTTGCCCAATTCCCTGTGGAGGAGTGGGCTCCTCTCAAAATCGTACCTGATAATTACATTTCTCATGGGGAGCTGGTGTGTGTGCATAGAACATCTTAATATTTTTAAACTCTCTTTCCTCTCCCTTACCTCCTCTTTCTCTCCACCTCTTGGTCCCTTTCCTTTTTGCAAAAGATCTACCTCCCTCTTTCTTATTATCTATCCTTTATCTTTTTCCATTAAGTTTACTGGTACATTTAAAGTGAACAGTACAGTTCCATTCATCACTGGGATCTTGTCCCTTTACACCGTGTAAGCATCTTAATATTTTTAAAATCTCTTTCCTCTCCCTTACCTCCCCTTTCTCTCCACCTCTTGGTCCCTTTCCCTTTTGCAAAAGATCTACCTCCCTATTTCTTACTATCTATCCTTTATCTTTTCCATTAAGTTTACTGGTACATTGAAAGTGAACAGTACAGTTCCATTCATCACTGGGATCTTGTCCCTTTACACCGTGTATCATGGTTCCTGTTTCTTCCCCATGCCCCTGCCCTCCCTTCACCCTTTCCTGTCCCCTATTTTCAAAGAATTAGGTCTTTTATTTTATTCTTTATTTATATTTTGGGTTTCTCACGTGAGATAAACCATGTGCTATTTAAGCTTGTATACCTAATTTATTTCACTGAACATTATGATCTCAAAGTACATCCATTATCCCACAAATGTTCAAATTCATACTTTTTATAGCAGTATAGTATCTTGCTTTCTTTATTCATTCATCTGTTGAGAGACCATGTTCATCTC